GCAGCCATCGCCTTCTGCTCCTCTTTCAGTAACTGCCCCTGTGAACGACAATCTCTGTGACTGTATTAAATGTGATAACACTGATGACATGATGATGAAAGTAGCCTTGGCGTTGGCTAGTCGTGCTGAAATACTAGAAGGAACCGACAATTTACCTAGTGTCGACTGCGTTATTCGCGGCTTTAATAACCACCTACCAGTCTATTCCGTGGGATGGAATGGGTTCATATCAAATATAGATAAAAAGGATCTGGACGCCATTAAGAGCTGCCGCGAACCTTCAAAAGAAGAGATAGGGATGTCGCTAAACGCTATTGCCTTCATGCTGAAGTGCAAGCCCTCAATTCCTTGCATGGTAATGTGCCGGATGCTACCGCTTATATTACACACTCACCCTGCCACGATTGTGCAAAACAACTTATTCATCGTGGCATTAGGCGTGTTTTCTACCTCTTCTGGCTGAATGGTTGTGAAAGTACTATTGAACTGTTTGAACTTCAAGATATAACCTGCATGGCTTTTCCTCACCGGGACTTAATACTGCGAGATTTTAGCCTTGATTTCCTTCAAAAAACAGGCATTAACCGTGGAGGCACTGACACGGATAAACTTCCAGAGAAATGTCCATCTTTTGTGGGCTCTAAAGACCGCAAGCAGAAATAAGTAGGGTTTATGTTAGATAAGAAAGAAAGATGAGATAAGAACTTTATTTTAGCACGATAAAAAGATCAGCATTGCTGGTGGTGTCGTGCATACAACAATTACAAGAAAAATAAGGAGTACTGAAAGCAAATGTACATTTATTAATTAAAAACTGTTAAAAAATGTTTGTAACCGATATTTCAGTTTTTAGTTGCAGCTAAAATAGGTTGTGCAAATGTACAATTGAAAATTAAAACTGTTAAAAGTATTGGTAACCGATATCTCTATGTTTTTAGTTGTAGCTAAAATAGGTTCGAAATTCATTTTATCAGTATCAAATTTTGCAAGACAGCGCTTAAATTCTTTCAAGTATTTAGCCCTTGTTTCCTTGTTCGTTAAAGTGTTCCATGCGATTGCTCCTCTAAAGCGTATGGAGTTTCTGATAAAATTCGTTTCTGGTATTCGAAGAATGATGTTCTCATTTCTTCTGCGACCTGAATTCCTATGTAAAAACAAATCTTTAAATTCCGTGACGGTGTAACCTTTTAACACTTGAAGACAAACTCCGTTAATCGCGCTTTGTGCATTGTTTCCAAACTGTCCCATCCAGTTCGCATTAAGACATCTTCAGCGCTAGTGTCCCATGGCAACCCATATACAATCCGTCCAGCCCTTGCGTGGAGTTTCTCCAGGTTGTTAAGGTGCGTCTTGTTGCACGATCCCCACACAGTCAGACCGTTTGTAACTGACGGCAGTATCACTTTAGTGAAGAAATCTTCTAATTGCTTCTGAGGGAGGAATCACCTGCGTCGAAGTAGACTTAAGTTGGATGCGAAGGACTTCGCTACATTTGCAGCATGATCTGACCAGGACACTAACTCGTCACGCGGCTTAAAGTCGACTTAGGTCTTACCTATTTTGTTCAGATCAGAGAGCTTTAGACTACAAGTTGGTGAACGGAACGTCTTAACTCCAGTTCACTAGACCTTTACTCGTTCAGTTTCTTTTCTAGCTGTACCCAAGTGTTAATAAGTTCCATGCTAAGTCGAATAAGTACCGCGGTGTTTGTTAAATTATTCGCACCTCCGAATGTGGCGCTTAGTGGAGGGCGGCGCTTTTTTGAATGTGGTTTGCCTAAAAATTGGAAGTAGCAAATAATTTTTTTTCTACCCGTACGAACAATTTTTATTAATTGATTATCTTTACTTGTACAACTGCTAAAAAGTTGTCATCATCATGACTAATACCTATCAAGAAACAGCTCGAAAACAACAGACGCCATCTTTCTGGACTAGGAGACCTGTCGAAGTCATTTAACAACAACAATCATCATCATCAGAGAAGTTGTTGAAGGAGCCATCCAATAGGACTATTGATGTGTTTCCTTACTTTTAAATTGGTACGGAAAATAAACAGCAATAGATTTAAATCACGCCTCATGGATCAGAAACTTATCCGCAGGGGCGGATCCAGGATTTTTTTCAGGAGGGGGTGCACTATTTTTTTTTTGCAGAATACCAGTTGTATTAGAAAACCGCAGGTCATCTCAGGTGGGGGTGCGCACCCCTTGCACCCTCCCCCTAGATCCGCCCCTGATCCGTATTATTAGAATCAGCGCATTCTTGACGTTTGTCATCCACTTGGACTTTTGACTTGATCTTTTTTATAACTCTATATGATTTCTCGGAATTTTGAATTGCGAAGGGGTTTTGCCCGAATTTTGTATTGATATTGATGTTTTCTTTTTATGAATATTTTACTGAAGTTCTGTGTGCAGCTTTTTATAAGATTTTAATAAAGTATTTTCAATTCAATAATAATAATAATAATAATAATTGTGAGTGGTTGAGTGGCTGAAAGAACTGCAAGGGTAAAATCAGATATAATGCAAGAGAATATTAGGATAACAACTGAAATGGTGGTAGCACAGGTCAAGAAGATCTCGGACTGGAAGGCTCAAGTTCTGATGGTGTCCAGGGATTCTGGCTAAAGAACTTGGCAACAATGCATGATAGGATTGCAGATCAAATCAATGACATGATTAATATTGGAGAAGCTAGCTAGCATAGCGTCAAAGGGCAAAACAGTGCTCTGTCAAAAAGTTAAGATCCGCAAAGGAGGAGTGCAGTTCATAATTTTAGACCAATAACCTGTTTACCCCTCATGTAGAAATTAATGACTAGGATAATTTCTGATTAGATCTACAATTTCTCAAGGAGAATAAGATGCTAACAGATGAACAGAAAGGATGCAGGGGGAAGAGCCAAGGGACAAAGGACCAACTCCTTATTGACAGAACTATTCTTGGAGATAGCAAAACATAAGCACAATAATCTGGCTACGGCGTGGATAGACTATAAAAAAGCCTTTGACATGGTCCCGCATTCTTGGATTATCGAGAGTTTGAAATTAGCCCAAGTGGCACCAAATGTAATTGATTTCGTGGGAAGATCAATGAAGAGCTGGAGCACTGAACCAGCAGGTTGCATTGTGAACAATTACTGGGTACGGTAAAAATCAAGAGAGGCGTATTCCATCTGCTCGTATAGTCCATCGTCGCTGCTGTTTGTAGCGGAGCTCTCGCGCGCGAAGCGCGCGCAACGGAGCACCATAAGTAAGAAAATGAAGTAATCTACCCATCCGAGAAAATTGGTAATCACGTGACCGTACGCCCCCCCCCCGCCCGACCGTCCGTCGGCACCACAGGTATACCAATGTAAAATAACTCAATCAACAGGTATGACAACCCAAATACAACTCGAGGTTATTTTGGCGGGAAATCGCATAGCCACCCGCGTCTTGTAAAGCAGAGACAGCTAAAGAGTCAATAAAGACGAAAACGGAAAGCGGAAATTGTTTCCGTATCCGTGTTAATTGTCTAAAGTATTAAGCTTAGATTAATTGTCATGTCCACAAATCTGGAATAGAGAGCAAGAGGAAGACAGAGAAAAAGAGAGAGTAGGTGGCAGGCCAGCGAAGCTCAACGAGAAAAAGGCGACAGAGATCTAGAGCGAGAGATGAAAAACAAAGGATACATCTTTTGTTGGAAGAACAACATGAAAATTTTGTAGCGGCGGTGACAAAATAAGAAATGCCAGTGGCCACCAATGCGAGGTAAAAATGAGCGGCAGTGAAAAAAAAGTGAACGAGAACACGTACGACATTACCTCCATAAAACATGTAACTAAGAAGTTTCTGGAAGTTTCAGGTTGTAGTCGTGCAAAACAACGGCAAAGAAATGTACAAAAAAAGTTTGCTGCACGTGCAAAGTTGCTTTTTTGCTAATTAGACTTATTGTTGTTTTTCACCATTCTTCGGCGTTGCTTTCGCCGCTTAGCATTATAAATATTATCGAGAGCTTCGCTTTTAGCCCTGGCTAAATCTATATATTACTATGTATATGATACCATTAACAAAGATCTTAAGAAAAGCCAAAGCAGGATACACGCTAGATGACATCAAAGTAAACCACCTGCTTTTTATGGATGACCTTAAACTTTTTGCCAAGAAGTAGGTAGGAGGTAGTCTTCAGTCTTCAGCCGTGATATAGCAATGGAAGTTGGTTTAAAGAAGTGCGAGGTGACAGTATTCAAGAGGGCGAAGCTGAGAAAGACGGCGGGTTAATTCAACTTGTGAATGGTGAGACAATTAAGGAAGTGGGTTAAGAGGGGTACAAGTACTTGAGGATAATGGAACTAGATAGAGTGAAGGAACAGGAGATGAAGGATATTCTTAGGGATGAGTACGTCGGAAGGTTGAAGCTGGTAATGAGGTCCAAACTGAATGGCGGAAACAAAATCAAAGCATGGGCTGTAGCCTTATTGCGATATAGTAGAGGAGTGATCAGATGGCAAAAGAATGAACTCCAAAACATGGACAGGATGACCAGAAATCGAAGGTGATGGCAAGGAATAAGAAGCTGCACGACCCCAGAAGTGATACTACAAGAATGTATCTATCAAGGAAGAAATGGGGAAGAGGACTCATTACAGATGTGAAGCTTGTGTCCGTGGGGAAGAGAACAATTTACGTTGGTATGTAAGGTTTTGCGAGGAGGTATTGCTCAGGATGGTAGGTAAAAAAGGAACAGTGAAAGTGGATGAGGCAAAGGCTCCAAAGGAGAATAAGAAGAGTGAATAGAGGGAATTGGAAAACAAATGGAAAGACAAGCAAATGCATGGGCAACTTGTCAAAGACATGACGGGAGTGGATTGGGAGAAAACATGGCAGTGGTTGCGGAAGGGGGACCTCAACGGATGTACAGAAGCTTTTTATCTGCAGCGCACTAAAACAAGCTTTAAGAGCTAACTACTTAAAGTTTCACACTGACAAAACCTCAGAATCACATATTTGTAGGCTTTGCGGATAGAGAGGAGAAAGCTTAAAAAGTCACCTAACAAGTGGATGCAGCAAGTTAGCCCACCGTCAGTACAAGAGGTGACAGATCTTCAGTTTTATTAACGGAGACTAAGTTACGTCTGTGAAGCAGCCTATACGGTGGTGCAATTCCGGTGTCAGCTGCGTTCTTTGCGCTTGTTCACCTACAAGGGCTTGAAAGCGGCTCGATGGCATTTGTCCGAGTGTCCTGGCGTCACTGGAAATACTTTACAACACCAGCTAGTGCAGTGCTGTACAGTGCTCAACAATAAAAAACAACAAATATGTAAATCAACATATGATTCCCTTCCTTAAAAACCAGAAACTCATCATGTGCTAGGCAACCACTGCCTCGTGTGAATTTAACTGGATTTACCACGCCGACTTTAGGTAAAAATAGAAAATATCTGTCTCTTCGAAATAATAAAATAACATGGAAACGTCTTTAAAAACTGGCTTTGCCCAAAATTTGGTGGGGCTGTATAGTATAGTATAACTAATTTTTTTACATATTTACATCACAAATTATGATTCTTCGTCAGTCAACAGCTGCTCGTCAGGTCTGTTCTACTCGGTAAGTTGAAACTCAATCCTTTTTTAATAGAAGTAAATGCAATGATCGATAAGGGAAGAATAATTCATTTCTTTTGTTTTATTCCGTTTAGCCTCGATCTTAGCCAAGTATCTTCAAAGAGACACCCTGCACTAACCTCAATTCCCAAGACCATTAATGTTCAAACGCATTTATTAATCCCTTATTACTTCTAATAATAGTAATAATAATAATAATAATAATAATAATAATAATAATAATAACTTAATAATAATCCAGACCCTGGAACCATAGAGCACCATCCATTATTCTTTTAAAGATTCGAACGGTTAAAATCGATACCTCAGGCTGATACCTCATCTCAGATCAAAAGGGCTCAAAAGCTATACCCCCTCCCCATCTCCGTGGAGGGCACTCAGCAAAGTTTTATGGGGCCGGGGAGGCTCTGCCGCAAGATCCAACTCCATATGATTACAACTAACTGTCCTTCGTTCATGTGGCGAACCTGTGATAAGGTGGTCCTTCTTCGCTAACTTTCTCGCTCTCTCCGAAAAAAAAAAAAACGCCCGATCGCAGGTTACCAGAGAGACTACAACCTGGGAAATATCATTTTTTTTCTTTTATTCAGTACACTTCGTGTATTTTATTTGACGTAACTCTGTACAGCCATGTTCATCCCGCTGGACAAATATGCGCCTTTTCCCGCCGTTTTTTCCCAAAAGTGAAAGCAAAGTCGTGCCTCGACTTGCAATCGAGGGAAGAATCGTTGCATTTTCATTGGACTACTACGGTGGTGTTATCACTCACGTGAAGTCAGTCACTGAAAGAATACATAAAATTTTACTACGCAATATTTACTCCCTGATTTACTCCATATCAGCCTGCAGGTGACGAAGTTTTCTCTTCTGATTTGTCGTTCGGTCTACATTGCGTGGTGTTCACTTCCTTCTTCGATTGTTGGTTGGTCTGGGGTTCCAACCCCTTTTCGAACTTCAAGGTAAAATGTTCGCGCGTAACGTTTTTGCCAGCTGACTGTCGAAACGTTGCATTTTTTACCACTCATACTAGCTTATTTCCCATCTCGAAGCCTCGTTATTCGGTATTTGTTGTAGTGTACTACATTTCATTGTCGGGACAATTTGAAAGAAATACATTGATAACAGCTAATACACTGAAAATAAATGTAATAAGATGCTTGCAGATCTCTCGATGCGATCACACCCGACGATCCAAATTAAGCCGAAAATTTCGAGTTGTTTGAGCTTGCTTAAGTGCGAGCTGCTAGATTTTCGTTGCTTTCATCGATTTATCCATTGAATGGTGAAATTCGTCGATAGAAACTTGTGCTACATTTAAATCGACCTCCTTTTTTACGGTGTAAATGTGATTTATCACCTCGTTGCCCAATTTTTCTGCGAATTTTGAGTTTTGATATAACTTGGACTTGTACAAGAGCAGCAATTAAAGCTCCGGAATAAAGGGTATTAACCAGTAATATTGCTAAGAGTTTAAGATTCAGGATTATCCAGCTCCTGTATAAGGAAAGTAGCTAAATTGCTTCTTAAAGCAAATACTTAAAATACTCGTAATTACATTGTTTAGTGTCCTCTGATTTTTATGTGGATGACTTTTGATATATAATTTTGATATTTTTGTCCCCATTTATGG